GCTAACATTCCTGAGCTACTGCGAAAGGTCATCAACCTTTAGCGATTAAAAAGTGGTCCGCCACTATATAAACAGATTTCCCAGGACGGTGGTGGTTTACTTCAGTGGGCTTCGAATAGAGGATAAAGTATATGGAATTGAGCTCTCGACGTGATCAATCCTTGAGAAAGCGCTTTGCACTCGCCTTTGTTTTTTAACTCGTTTGGGGGTAACTAAATGCAGATGTGGTCTTTAGGATCACCCGCGGTGGCCTATGCTTTATTGAGTCAGTGCTGCTTATGCTCCACGGCAAGTTCAGTACCAGTTTGGTACCAACTCACCTACCGCGAGGGACAGATGGCTTGGCGAGCCATGAGCCCGAAGTCGAAATATCAGTCTTGTGTGCGACGCAAAGCACCGCAACCATTGCGCCACATGCGCTTCGGAATCATCAACTGTGACACTGATTACCACCTGTAGTATACTACTAATCTTTCGAAGTTGGACTCTTGGATACAGCGAAAGTATCATCATCGATGGTGCTCATAAGCTGAGCTCCAATTCAGTCACCTCTCCCCTCAGATGAGCTTGTCCGGCTATGTGAGGCGATAGCCAGAGATTCAAGCTTTGAAATGATTACTAACACTCTTATCAAAAACTCTTATTCAGCAAAAGACAGGCCTAAAATAAGTTCCCTTATGACCGAAAAGAACCAAGAGATTCCAGAATAAGTAACAGAAACCGCATTCCCTGACAAGTCGAAGCACCAATCGATCCACGACCGTATCGAAGCTATGGTGGCCCGCCCCACGCCCCTTGAATTAGCCAAAGAACACGTGCTCGAAAATGTAAATTAGTCTTATTCTCTCTAATGCACTGCGAAGAAATGGTCTTTCCAGACAATAAGCGGAGCGTTGAAATCTCAAAAGCTTACACTAACGAATGATCACTAATAGTCTAAAGAAAGAGCTCTGTACTGCGAGAAAAACGCGCGTGTGAAGCACAAATGTTTCCTTTTCGTTGGCGCTAGCAAGAGATTAAAGCTTTCAAATGATAACCATTGTCGCCTAAGGTAAAAGTACATGTGTGGATCCCAGCGCTTCTAACATTAAATTCGATCCCGCGTATTCATCCTCCCAAAGCTCTTCAAACATTCTGAGGTTGTTTCGACTGTTGATAAAGGAGTATGTCTTCTTTACAAATGCCGTGGAACACTGATGGAGTCGAATCTGCTTGAATTCTCAGTATAACCGAGCTAATGTCCCTTCATGCGATGAAGAAGGTCGGAAGCCGGTGTCGAACCAAGAACTGTTTCCCTGATTCCAAGCATTGCTCACCACTCTGCTACTTTTCCTTCGAGTGCTTTATTAAGACCACGCTCAATATTTTGAGCCAACATGTCATGTGGTCTGGTAAAGGCTCCTGTACAGCCCGATCACGTGTTTCGTCCTTACAGACTCATCAGCCGGGCAGAACCCGTCGTCTGTCGATCTTTTCATAGTCAGTTCTCTCGGAGCGTCACACTCCTTATATATAAATATCGACGACCTACGCTTTACACTCTATGTCAGGTGAAACATTCAACTTACACAGAGTGTTTTCGCACTCGATTGCTAGCTGGCTGGTATTTTTATCATATTATACCTTTCCTTCGAGTGCTTTATTAAGACCACGCTCAAATTTCAATAGATCCTTTCATTATTATTTGAGCCAACATGTCACACGTGTCTCGGGCTGTACAAGAGCCTTTACCAGACCACATGACACTCTGCTACTGTTTTCCCAATACTGGATATTAGCGATATGAATGCACTCGACATTAACCAACTTGAAAGCCAGCAAAGAGGAAGAAAAGAGAAAGAAACCTGGAGCATGACATCCCTAACATATCGAATAACGTCGGCCACAGTGACGAAGTCTTCGTCGCAAGGAAGTGAAACCTTTAGAGGAAAATGAAATGAGTAAAACAAGAGTGAAGTCGATAATACCAAAAAAAAAAAAAACGTACCTGATGCTCTTTTTTGTTTCCGACGAGAAATTCACATCCGCCAGAAAATTCGATCACCAAACTAACTTCGCCCATAGTAATCGAAATGCTTCGTCGACAAGATTTCTTGAATTCAACCGCTTTTTAGCAGTAGTACTGTTTCATAGCTACAGATCTAACAAAGTTCTCTTTCGTTATCCCCGGAGCTATTCGCTGGACATAAACTTTTCACAAGAGCACTATTAATCATTCGAAAGCTCTAATCTCTCGTCAAAGCCGCACGTGGTGGTTTTTTGTAAAAATTTTTTTACAACGCCGTGAGATTCAATCTGAATTTACGTTTCAAATCGGCTGCTGAATTCAACCGTTACTTCGCTGGAAGCCTGAAAAGCACATGAACGTGTAAGAAAATATTGTAGTACCAGAGTCAGATGTTTAATCTTAAGATACTTTGAAAGCGGAGAAAAATTCCTAATTGAAGATAACAGACATAGCACTTTCATGTTAGAAAATCAATCGATCACGGCACCAAACCCCCCCCCTCTCCTTCTCCCTCACCCCGCGGCCCGTGAATTCGCCAAAGAACACCGCATACGTGGATCAATCTTGTATTCCTGCTGCACTGCACAGAAAACGTTCTTTTCAGAAAATACGCATAGTTTGGAATCAGAAACCATTACAGCTATCGAAGGCAAACTAATAGAAGAAAAAAAAAAAGAGCTCTGTTCGGCGGGGTATAACACACGAATCTTTTCGTTTCTAGAGCGCTACCAAGAGAGTTTTTTCAAAAAAGTGAACATATTTCTAAGTTCTTTGAATCCTGGTTTTCAATGAGTGCTAGCACTCTAGGAAAGGAATTTTGTCCAGCGATATATAAGCGAGACAACGGAAAAAAAACGTCGTTTTGTGAAAACATGATTTTATTTGGATTTTTCAGCGTTATAGAAGAATGTTTTGGAAAAACCGACCATGTGAAGCTCTAGCAGAAAATCTGGGCTTTCAAATGATTACTTACACTCCTATCAAAACTTCTCCACCGAATGAGGACGGTCTTTCATTTGCTCCCTCAATATCAGAAAGAAACTGTCGTTTCTTCATTCGATCCCGGGTAACGGAAAAGAATTTGCAATAATGTTGAATACCTCAAGCTCGGACTGATACCGAACTCGCCTCTATTTCCGAGGGTAGGCGTAACTAGGTTGGGTTGAATGCCGATATGTGCTCCCAGCGTTAAGCTGTTGGCAACTGCTTACAGGCAGAAATAACACATATCGCAAGTGATAGCAGAACAGGAGCCCGGTAATACAACTGGTTAGCATGCGCTCTCGGAAAGGCTAAGGTGTTGGTTCGATTTCGGCTCGAGGTTCAGAATTTTGTATCTCGCTCAACATTGTTGCATTTCTAACTGCCTACAATATTCACGGCATGACCCTATAATGACAATGTGGGACGTTTCATCCCATACCGCGACGTCGCATCTCACTTAGCTACTGTAATGGCGGCATCGCGCTCCTTGAGAACGAAGGTGCTCGTGGCAACGGAGACGCAGCAAGCACGACATTCTCGCACAGAGAAGCAAAGCCGCCATCCAGGACGGCCGCGTAAGCGACGGCGCGATGCCGCCTGCCTATCGACGGTGGTCCACAAAAGGATAAACAACAATACGATGGAATAAAAAATACTCAAGAACGGATTACTTTCATAACATCATAACCTGTGCCATTTCTATACTGTTTACTATGCATACGAATAAATCACGAGCAAAATACCCATAAGAGCTGAAACAAGAATAACATCATATGTGAACACGTATTCAAATGAAACAGATGATTTCGTAAAACGCCACAAAAGATCGACTCTGAATAAACGTCGGCATGAAAAAATATAAATTATCGCACAAAATGTCTTATCTGTATATAAAAATCTTGCCAAAGAAGGTCAGTCCTCTTCAAAACGATGGCTAACTTTCCGGCAATTTTGCGTTCCTCAGAGCCTAGACTCACTATATCACACCATATGTTTATTCTGTTGATATTCAGTAAGTGTAGTACAGACTTAATGCAAAATTAGTTCAAAAGTCTGGCCATCACAAAGAAAACCCATCGCTAATCCAGATTCCCTTCAAACATGAGGGTCTTCTTGATGCTCACCGTGCGACGTCAAGTATCGCTCAGCTACTGTAACGGCGGCGTGGCGTCTCATGGGAAAGCAGGAAGACAGCCAGACATGTAGATGCCGCCTACCTACGCTGGTACCCAAGCGTTGTACGGAGAGGTGACCGGTGTGTGACACACCATGAAAAACTATGATTTAACTAATACACGAGGTTGATGATGAGAGCTGATCAACGTTTCGAGATCTTCGTGTTTTTCAGAGCCGACGATCGAATCGACTGCTCACAGTCGTTCAGTCTCGCTATCCATACTCGCCTTCGTTTAAGAAGAGGCTTTGTAGAAGACGAACACATCGAAACGCTGGCCGAACAGAGCTTAATTATCAAACTCTTGTACTAGCTACATCATAAGAATCCTACTATTGACTGAAACGTGAGTGTTCCATTCTGTATCGCAACACACCATCGACATCGCCAATGTAGGCAGTTAAGTGGTGGATTTCTCCCTACAATAGACTGAACTTCTAATTAAAGATTGCTTATCAGATTTTCATACGAGATATTAACCGAATGAGTAGTTATGATATGGTATAGTACAGCCTCTGAAAAAACCAAAATGACGTTAGCCATCGTTTTAGGCCGACATAACAAACTTACGCAAGCTTTTTATGTATGAAGAAGGATGGTTCGTGAAAGTGAACACAAAATGTATAGGATACAACGGATACAAGACTAGAAGTGTTGAATCAGAAATGATTAACAGCCTTGTTGCTCTGATGTAAGGCGAGAATGCAATCTTCACGTTTGGAAACGTTAGCTGAAAAGGAATGCTATTATATCGCAAGATTTCTTATGTCTCTAACTGCTCTTTTCCCAGATGTCTCAAATATAATTAAGAGAATTGAATGAGAGAAAAAAATTCGACCTCCACGGGAGCTGAACCCGCTTTTCACCCATACCGCGAGTGCGTGCTACCACTACACCACAGAGGCCGCCGCTTACCCACCACTCATTATTCGATATCTCTTATCTTGAGTATTGAGTATGCACATTGACTGTCAGCTTAACTGGGTTCAGAAAGCAATATGTGCTCACCCGACCAACCTATTAACACTTGGTATGGATGATAGTTGTGACAGAGAGATCTTGAAGAATGAGTGGTGGCTAAGCGGTGGCCTCGGTGTAGTGATAGCGCGCGCTACCGGGATGGGTGAAACGCAGGTTCAACTCCCGCCTAAGGTCGAATTTTTGCTCATCACTCAACTTTCTTAGATATCTAATATATCGCATTAGGAGGGAACAATCTAAAAAGCAAGGGAAACCATAAAATTGCCAAAGTCTCACAACGATGTTAATTATGTGTTCAGTGTTTCTTAGTGAAATGTTTACGATAGAAATCACGGTGGATAAAAATCATCTGAGTTAACGGAAATCATTCAGGCCCACGGTAAAATTTGTATCCGATTGATAACTTGTCGCTACGGAACGTTTTCTGTCCTAATAGTCTTGAAAAGTATTTTTACATCTAAGAATGTTGAACATAGAAAACATTCGACTCCAGGAGGGAGTTGAACCCTCGTCATTCCTCCTACACGCGGCGTCGTAAACTACCATTACATCATCAAGTCAGTGGCTGAAGTCCCGTCTGTAGTCGAGCACTTTGCAAACTACTCAAGATTCCTTGATAGGTATTTATAAGATCATATCACTGCTGAAAGCGGTAATATGAATAATTCAAATAAACTATATAATCGTCTGAAAGCCTTTTTATTTAACCGCTCCTGGCGGTGTTATGATGTTATAACTAGATACCCATTGATGGGCGTCAGTAGTGTAACGGAAAGAGCACGCATTCCCGGAAAGTGTAAGGTGCGGGCTCTAGTCCCGCCTGACGCGAAAGTTTTGCACATCGCTCTACATCAATGGGTATCTAGTTATGACATCATAACACCGCTAGAAGCGGTTAAATAAAAAGGATTTCGTTCGATCTTCAATACCCAATATCTGTCAGCGTGACTGGGTTCAATGTCGAGACCGACTACACGGGCCAGGCCGTTGACGGCTGGCGGCCTGACAGATAGATGCGCTGTAGCGTGAGAAGAGCGATGTGTAAAATGGGCGTCAGTAGTGTAACGGATAGAGCACGCATTCCCGGAAAGAGTGAGGTGCGGGTTTTAGTCCCGCCTGACGCGAAAGTTTTGCACATCGCTCTACATCAATGGGTATATAATCGACTGTTTTTTAAGACCTCGCTTGAAGCAATATAATCTAATAACATATTTTGTGCCCTTCATTAGGTCTGCTATGGCACTTACAAAGTGCTAAACACGTATTTAGCCATGTATCTCTCATCAGTAGCACAATGACTTTCCTTCAAAAAATCTCATTGTGAAGGCATATACCCCCATATGAAGAATTCGACGACGAAGATGTTATACTGCACGCGAAAGGTGAAAAATCACCTCACACTCCCTTCATATGTAGTGGGTATGTCCCTGCAAAGACCAAACGGTACGTATCGTACCGTGCGCGCGACGTCAAATCTTTCAGTTAGTCGTAATGGCGGCGGCGCGTCTCGTGATAAAGGCGGCGCATCTCGTGGGAAGCGACATTCAGAAAGTATGACATCCTTGCATAAACGCAAAGATGCCGCCTTCTGTGAGTGTCGCGCAAGCGACGGCGCGCGACGCCGCTTGCCTATCAACGCTGGTACTCAAAAGGATATCCCTTTACATTGAGATTGGTCAAAACGAAAGGCACCGTGATACCGATAAGGCTCAGACCAAAACACGTGTCCAGCACTTTATAAGTATCATAAACAGACCTCACTTAAGTCTTGAAATATGTAACCAAGTCAAACAAGTCTTATTGCAGCGTTCGCAAGTGCTCAACAGACACATGCTGTCTCTGGTGGAGATGAGGGGAATTTGTTACTTGCAACTAGACTGGAGTCACGAAGAGTGATTCCTAGGCCATCATAATAATCTTGGCCAGCCTCTGAAATAAATTTCCGGACTCGCCAGTAGGAAAGATTAATGGAGAATAAACCTTTCGACATGACATTTCAGAATGTACGGGCTTGTACATCTACTCAAACCGCCTTCAAGCTACGATAAGGGTCACAAACCAGGAGACTTACAGCATCAATGATCTGAAGTAAGCCGAAACAAAACAAAAACTGATGCAGAACCTTGCAGTTGTCGCTGTGAAGAACAACCTCGGGCACAGTACCATTGGACGGTTCAAGCTGGGAGCACAGGGTGAGAAGCTGAGATCCCAAAGGTCCCACATCCGGCTGAATAGCGACATGACTTTCACAGAAAAACTCAACTCGCACAGGATATATTGAAAAACTAGTAAACTAAAAGATAACATAAGAATTTAATAGGCATATTTTTATTCTGGTGGCAAAAGAGGCGTCGGTAGCGCAACTGGCTAAGAATGGCCCCCTAGAAACGGTGAGACGAGTGTTCGAGTTCCGTCTGCTGTCAAAGTTTTGCATATCACTCAACATCACTGGGTATAATTGTAACACCATAAGAGGGTTAAAAAAGATCTAATAGAAAGAATTCTAAATTCTTTCTATTTTGACTGCCACTTGCAGTGGTATGATCTTATAGTATACCCAATATGTGGAGTACTGTGCAAGGACGTTTGCGTCAGCCGGGATTCGAACCCAGATCTCACTCTTTCCGGGAGCGTATGCTGACCGTTGCACTACCGACGATCGCTTTGCACAGCACTCTTACTCGGAAAGAGTGAGATCTGGGTTTGAATCCCGGCTGACGCAAACGTTTTTGCACAGTACTCCACATATTGGGAAAAAATTTTGCTTGGTCATACATACTTTCACTCTATTCTGTCACTTTACTTGACCCACATTACAGTTTTTCCAACTGTCCTAATGCTTCTAGCACTCCATTCGTCTCCTAGCTTGCTTAACTATTTCCTCTTCCCCATGAACGTCGTACGCACTTGTTGAGCACTTCTCCTAGCAATCTCGAGGATAGCCAAGCTGGGGTGGTCGTTGTTGATTTCCGGAAAGTTTCAGTGACGTAGGGAACCAGCAGGCGTCCCGCTACGTCGAGTACCACTAGGCACTAGGTCACCCCCCCCCCCCCCCCCCACATGTCTATTTTCATATAACTTTAATCTATACCTCTCCACAAATTGCCAAAGTAATAAGGGAAGCTATAAACATAGAATGAACTTACTTTTAAAGATCCTCTCGTAGATAGAGAAAGACCATTAGCATCTGAGACGCAAACACCAAGAGTCCCTTGTCGTTCCATCCTTTATTGAAGTGCATTAGTCACACAATACACCAAACATTTCCAAGAAATAGCTATTCAAAATGACTGAAACTTACAGTCGATCGACTATCATTTCCATCTGCGACTCCATCTTGTGTGCCTCGAAACGCAAAGATCAAAGATTACGAGAGAATAGAGCAACAAAATGCTCAAAAAAGTGGTCGGAAAACCAGTGGAAACCTAGAAGCAACGTGCTGGATTGGACAAAACCCTCACAGTTGGCTGATTTCACGTATTAAGAAAAGCCTGAAAAGACGCACAAAGATGGAAGCTTAAGCTGTTCGAACGTTCAGTCTCTTAGATTTTCACGTGACGATGCTCAATCAAAGCAAAAACCAAAGATCACTATAGATCTCCAGTGTTTTTACTGCATTTTTCGCTGTAGTATGATGCTTCCAAAATTCCTACGAGAATAGAGCGGTGAGCAAAAATACGACCTTAGGTGGGGTTGAACCAGCGTTTCACTCATACCCGGAGGGCGCTTGTTACCACTATACCATAGAGAAACGGTTTCACCACCAGTCGCTATCCATTGTTTCTTGGTGATGAAACGGTGCCTCGATGACGAAGTGGTACCATGCCCCCCCCCCCCCCCCCCAGCATGGATGAAACACAGGTTCAACTCCCGCCTAAGGTCGAACTTTCGCTCACCACTCGATTCTCAAAAATCACTTAGTGAATGAAATCACTGTGATCACTTGTAACTGAAAATGCTAACATAATATGAGAAAACTGAGAATAAATGTTATAAAGATGATCAGAAACACAGCCTGGCGCGCAAAAATTCGACCTCACGCGGGATTTGACCCCGTATTTCACCCACACCGGGGCGCGTGCTACCACTACACCGCCGAAGCCCATAGCTATGCTATCACTCTTTCTTCGATATATGCAACTGTAGCTATCAGTAACCAGCCTTTGACGGGTTTGGTCGGCTGTGCACATATTGGCATTGATCTAAATTAAGCTCACAGCTTTTCGAGATGAATAGTATAACTGAGTTCATTATGTTTACGGCTTTCTTAGCAGTGGTATGCGTTGTTACAAACATCCAAGTGTACGGAGTGGTACGCAAAAAATTCAACCTCGGAGGGGAGTCGAACCCGCGTTTGACCCATACCGGGGGGAGCGTATGCTACCACCACCCCATCGAGGCCACCTTGCTACCTTTCTTGCTCCAGGCGATAGTACTTTTCAGTTATCGGGACCATTTTTTAATTCTTTGTACAGAAGGCTTATATTGCTCTTTTCTCAGACTCCTAGCAGTCATTCGATAGCTTAAATCTCGCTGAATTCAGCACTATAATTAATTTTTTTAAGCCTTTTTAGTGCGCTGTAGCAGCGAGAATAAGATTTCGCTTCACATTCGATACGTATTTTTGCTAGGTTAGAGTTCACGAAGGGCCCTTCAACAGACTTCTATACTAATTTGATGGCTTGAAAAACGGTGATTCTGAAATTGGATTAAATTTCTGATAGATCTTTATAGAGAGAAAATAATATTACGTTTCACACTTGGAGATCCAGGATCTTGTTGTAATAGGAGGAAGAATCTCTGGAATTTCGAAAGTCGCGTGTCTCTCGAATCGCCGCGCGCCCAGAGATCTCAAATCCACCTCGAAAGGTCGCGATTTTCGCTATTTATTTATGAATTTTTCCTCCATTTCATTGAAATTTCTTAGGTCTTGTGTGTTAGAACTGCAAAAGAAACTCGAATCTACCGTTATATGGGCACTAGCTTTCTATTTTCACTTCACATTGTCAAATGACCCGCTATAAAGCCTAAATAACACCACTAAGAGGGCGACATGTATTCTTTCTCATCGCTCATTCAAAAAAGAAAACTACGCTTTCCACTAGAAATGCCTTTATCATACCTCTAAAAGGCTTCAAACATTTTATCAGATTATACTGAATTACTGAACATTCATCAGATTATACTGAATTAAAGGTTCAATATAATCGATGAAAAGTAATGTTATATATGCTCCATAACAGCCGTAAGCCATGAAGTCAACAATCAATCACTCTGAAAGAAACGCCACATCAAGCGATCTTCTCACTTGACGAGGAGTGACACTTTTTCGGCGCCGCTACAGTTGGTTGTCCGGGGTGAACTAAAAGGCCTGCGAGCTGATTAGGCTTGAGAAAAAGCCGAAACGTCCGTCTAGCACTAATGATGTCATTACCAGACCTCTGAAAGCTTTAACCCTCTAAGGACCACGTGGTACGTTTTGTACCTCCCCACACGACGTCAAACCTCACTCAGCCGTGCTGGCGGCGTCGCGCACCGTGAGAAAGGCGGCGCACCTCGTGGGAAGACAGACGAAAACAGTATGACATCCCCGCGTCGACTCGCAGATGCTGCCCCTGCGAGTGCCACGCAAGCGACGGCGCGACGCCGCTTGCCCATAACGTTGGTCTACAGAGGGTTAAAACATCCTATTCAGATTATATAAAAAGACTTATGCTATTAAATGACCATTGAAAGTCGGTTGAAAACAATCTGTAAACACTAGGCGCCTCGCTGTTGTTTGTTGCTGTTAATCTCGCGAAGCACCATTCCACATCCCAGACGACAAA